GGTTTCCTGCTTACTCAGAACGAATGCATCGTTCTCTCTCCCCGTTGGCTTCAGCAAGGTAACATCGCTGCTTCCAAAATTAGTTTCGTTTATGTTGAATTGATCTTGTGAAATTCTGTTTCGGCCTGTGCAGTGTCTGAAGGGGGAAGAGTGCCCTCACGACGTGATCAAGGTTGCATCAAGTCGTGAGGTTAATTTTGTGTTTGTAATTCTGGAAACGCCAGTAAGTGACTTGCTGTTGTAGATGGTTTCCTTTTCATCACGACGCCATGTGGCGTAAGTTAATTAATTTGGTTGGAGTTGAGTTGGCTTAAACAGCCGATCGCCCCGCAGGCGTGCAAGTAACCTGTGTATATTTCCTTGTGCCCTTAAGGCTTGCCGAAGTACAGGCTTGTGTGCCCTTAAGGCTTGCCGAAGTACAGGGTTTTTTTTCTGGAGAAGTCGAAAGATGCCATGAGGCGTGCCCATACCTGAGTCTGTGCGGCTAGGCACAGTGTAGTTCAGCATCAGCTGTTGATTATGTTCTGACCAGTCCCTGCCCATCAGGCAGAGTACACCTGTATACTTATGTTATCAATATATACATTTATTTATATGTTTGGAAACGCCAGTTGTATTTGTGTATACTTGGGTTGTGTATTCCCTACCAGTTCGGACTAGCAGATCCGTCCAGCTTGGCCCATAGTGCTGACAGCGGTTTTCCTCTCCCGAGATCCCCTACTCGACCTTGGGGAGGCATAGTACATCACGTACAAGCAAGTCGTTCTTATGAGCCTGTCCCTTACCCATATTGAGCAGGAGATCACGGGTCTAAGTGGGTAGGAGAACTGGGTTCTTGACCCACAGGGTCAAGGGACACGGCTCAAAGTGGTAGCAGAGTGTGGTTAACGAAGTTAACGTGGTTAACGGTAGTTAACGTTTCTTTTGTGTTCCGGGGTTTCGACCAGACATTGGGTTCTTTCATCAGGACTTGCTTGTGGAGTGTAGAGTTGACCGTGGACTCGTATATATATTTTTTTGGTGTTGTTCTATGCTGTTGCGATGCCGCTCGCCTGGATCCACAATCTTCCGAGAGAGGAGGCCGAGAAATTTGCGTCGGAGTTGGGCGTGTCCGTTCAAGGTACCTTGGACGAATTGCGGAAGCGGCTGAAGGAAAAGTCGAGAGCGCTGGAAGTCTGCCTACCTCCTCAGATCACAGATAAGTTTGCCGCGAGTACGGACGTTGCGGGACCTAATGTGAGAAAGATTCGAGCGGGCGACGTCCATGCCCAAAGTAGTTACGCCCAGAGTAGATTACGGGGTAATGTAGTTTCTGAGTCGGCATTAGTTTGTCATATTGTTCAGAATATTTACCCTAGTGTGTGTCCTTGGTGGACGTTTGAGTCTGGGCCAAGAAGAGTAGTTAGTGGGTGTGTCGTCGGTGGACGTTTTGAGTCTGGGCCTTGAAGAGTAGTTAAGGTGTGTCCTTGGTGGACGTTTTGAGTCTGGGCCGAGAAGAGTGGAGAGTAGTTAGGGTGTGTCCTTGGTGGACGTTTTGAGTCTGGGCCGAGAAGAGTAGTTAGGGTGTGTCCTTGGTGGACGTTTTGAGTCTGGACCGAGAAGAGTAGTTAGGGTGTGTCCTTGGTGGACGTTTTGAGTCTGGGCCGAGAAGAGTAGTTAGGGTGTGTCCTTGGTGGACGTTTTGAGTCTGGGCCGAGAAGAGTAGTTAGGGTGTGTCCTTGGTGGACGTTTTAGGTCTGGACCGAGAAGAGTAGTTAGTGTGTGTGTCCTTGGTGGACGTTTTGAGTCTGGGCCGAGAAGAGTAGTTAGGGTGTGTCCTTGGTGGACGTTTGAGTCTGGACCGAGAAGATTTTTTGGGAACTAGCCTTGGGGAATTTTGAAGGCTAGAGATAGGGTCGCGAATCGCTATATGAATCGAGGAGAGAGGTAGAGGTTACGGTTGGGGTCAAGTGTTTGTGAAGCTCCACCCTCAAGGTTCCAGTGCTCGATACCGTTCCACGAAGCTGGAGATTAAGAGGTCTGAACCCTTTGTAATAGTTAAGTCCGACTAAGTTATGGGTCGACTGGGAAATTCTGATATGGGTGTACTGGTAAAATGGATTTGTGTCTCAACTGAAGAGCTACAGGCTTGGCGAGTAGGCCATAAAATGTAACCTGGGTATTATCGCAACCACATATTTGTGTAAATATGTTTGTGAGCTTCCCCCTGAGACGATGCTGAGTCTGCCGTGATTTTTGTTTGTGTTTCAGAGTCTGCTATCCCTTTCTATCCTATCCCTTCGGCTCGCGAGTGTGATAGACGTCATGTGGGCCCCGCCAGTGACGAACTTGTGTCGTCAGTGAGTGTGTGTTGGTGTTATGTCTCCGACGAGGAGTTGGACCTTCGGACTCCTGTGGGCCGGGAATTCGCTGCTAGAAGTTGGGCCTCCTTTCCTGACTTGTCGGCGTGCGAATGGCCAAGTGATGTGACGGTGGTGCCGGAGAAATGGACTGGGTGGCTCCACCAGCTCTCCGGAAGGGAGCACCTCCGCACATGTGTGGCAGGAACAGAGCAAGGACTGTGTGTTCGGAATGAATCTTGCTGGCAGGCAGTTAGAGCCCCAGGAGTGATAAGGCGGCGGAAAGGTGTCGTGATAATTGGATGGCGAGTGGGCCCAGTGCAGTGCTGAGTGTTTTTTTTTTTTGGCGTCTGGGGAGAGGGTGACATCCTGAACCGTGCAACGGTTCTTCTCCGTGAAGTTCCTTGGAGTCCCCCCCCCCCGAAACGCCAGGATGCGTGCCGTTCCTCCTCCTTTCCACTTAAAAGTCTTAGCTGACGTCAGGTCAGCTGACCATGTTCCCCCCCCTCCTGGACGAATGCGAGGTTTCCTGCTTACTCAGAACGAATGCATCGTTCTCTCTCCCCGTTGGCTTCAGCAAGGTAACATAGCTGCTTCCAAAATTAATTTCGTTTATGTTGATTTGAACTTGTGAAATTCTGTTTTGGCCTGTGCAGAGTCTGAAGGGGGAAGAGTGCCCTCACGACGTGATCAAGGTTGCATCAAGACGTGAGGTTAATTTTGTGTTTGTAATTCTGGAAACGCCAGTAAGTGACTTGCTGTTGTAGATGGTTTCCTTTTCATCACAACGCCATGTGGCGTAAGTTAATTTGGTTGGAGTTGAGTTGGCTTAAACAGCCGATCGCCCCGCAGGCGTGCAAGTAACCTGTGTATATTTCCTTGTGCCCTTAAGGCTTGCCGAAGTACAGGCTTGTGTGCCCTTAAGGCTTGCCGAAGTACAGGTTTTTTTCTAGAGAAGTCGAAAGATGCCATGAGGCGTGCCCATACCTGAGTCTGTGCGGCTAGGCACAGTGTAGTTCTGCATCAGCTGTTGATTATGTTCTTACCAGTCCCTGCCCATCAGGCAGAGTACACCTGTATACTCATGTTATCAATATATACATTTATTTATATGTTTGGAAACGCCAGTTGTAATTGTGTATACTTGGGTTGTGTATTCCCTACCAGTTCGGAATAGCAGATCCGTCCAGCTTGGCCCATAGTGCCGACAGCGGTTTTCCTCTCCCGAGATCCCCTACTCGACCTTGGGGAGGCATAGTACATCACGTACAAGCAAGTCGTTCTTATGAGCCTGTCCCTTACCCATATTGAGCAGGAGTTCACGGGTCTAAGTGGGTAGGAGAACTGGGTTCTTGACCCACAGGGTCAAGTGACACGGCTCACCAGTTACAGTTTATGTAATCCAAATTTTTCTTCCCTTAATCCGCGATTTCTCTTATGAAGTTTCTGTTGCAAGAACTGATGAGAAAGCATTGTTCTTCTCTATATTGATTTTCGGTTCTTTCAGTAAACGGTGAACACTGTTCACCATGCATGACAGATAACGGCGTGTTCTCGATACGGTGTCTGATTATTAATATACGGTATGTAATTTTTACCAGGTTCCATCTCAAGACGAACTACAAACGAGGAATGACGAAGACAGTTCTCTTAATACTGACTCCTTATGTGAAAGTGAAGGTAATTATTATGCCCAGATATTGCTATTCTTTTCTATCAATTCTAATGGTAGAGCAGTCAATTCCATTTTTAAGTAAAACAAATAAATACAAATATTTCAGGGGAGAATAGCCCCCAAATTTTATTTCAATACATTTGAAATATATTAAACTTCACAAATAGCATTGGAAACACCTTGAGATATGTTATCCTTGCCGTTGCCTAGAAAGGACGATTTTTCTGGCTCCACTATTCCTGCACGTTATGAGAGAAATATCCAAGGGAGCAATGTTATTTCAGAAGTCCCGCTTTGCTTTACACATATAAAAAACTTTACTAATAAACATGAACGGGTGAAAGAGAACAATTGTAAGAGCCTAAATTTTCTAATCAGTCAAAATATTTGTAGTGCAGAGTCGAATTCTCAATATATAGTCATCCCTGCACCTGACAATATTAATGATAGCATAAGTACAAATACAGTGCGTACAATCAAGTGCGCGCCGCGGCTGCAATTTGCCGTGAGTCATACCACCGCAGAACGGATGCAGTCGCGGGGAGGAGTTGCAACTGCGACTGCATCCGTTCTGCAGTGGTATGACTCACGGCAAATTGCAGCCGCGGCGCGAACTTGATTGTACGCACTGTAGAAAGAGAAAAGACAAATGAAAAGTTATGTAGGACTCCATGAATGAAGGAGAGTACATAAGATAGAGACCAAAGGAAGAAAAAGGAATGGTTAAACAAATTGTTCTCAGATTTATTTTCCAAAGTTTTATTCCTCCTTAACACATACGAAATATTTCACTCGTCACACGTGGATAGATTTATGACGATTCTTTCATTGCTAGTGGGGTGGGACTAAGTCTCTTGTATTGCGGCCACATCTGGCCTATTGTACCAGCCGCAGATGATAGGTGAGGGTGATATTGGAGCAATTGGTGGAATGAAGATTGGCAGGGGAAACCGAAGTTCTCGGAGAAAACCTGCCACAGCGCCACTTTGCCCACCACAAATCCCACTTTACCAGACACATGATAGAACCTGGGCCACCGCGGAGGGACGACAGCGACAAACGGCTTAAGCTATGGCGCGGCCTTAATATCCACTTTCCTTTGCGTTGTTTTTAAAACGTCAATATCCCACGTACACAATCCCTATGTACGGCTCTATCCACATATCTCAAACCGTTACTATATTTTCCTACTTCCCTACTTCCTTCCTAGCATCAAATAGGATTCTTCTGTTTTTATTTATGGCAGCACACTTATATGCAAATATATTTATATTCAGGTTAAAAAAGCAACAAATGCGTCCCATTTAATTTCAGTCACACCTTGTATTCCTGCAAATACGTAACGGCCTATAAAGAGTCAAATTAGAAAATAAATGGAGATAAAACAACTCCAGTACTTAGTCCATTTATGTAGGAAAACTTATTGGAATATTTCCACTTTTACTCAACCTCCAGTCTATTTCATTAAATACTTTGGTGTCGGCATAACTATTTATGAATCAGATGAATCGTGGGCTATCTGTTTGTCTATGAATAGCTGATGTATTTTCTCCTTGTAACCAAATTACATTTAGTAACAGACGAAAGCGGAATACCTTATTCATTTTTCACCACATAAATCCAATAATGAACTCAGCATTCAACTGAGCTCTGATATGGAGTCTGGGGACAGATGGTACTCTCTATAAGTTAAAATTTCAATTGAGGAATATTGACCGGACAGTAATGACGTGAGCACATATGGTGAATATTCTCCATTGTTGAGAGCTGTTGCCAAGCAAAGACTGTGATGACACTTCAGGCAGTAGAAAACTCAGCATGCATTACTTTGTAAACAAAGTCAAAACAGCGGTATCTTTATAAGTACTTGTAGCTTCTGGTCGTGTTGTCATTAACACATTCACAAATACATACCGTGTCTGTAGTCTCCCCTGCACGTGACAATATATTACTGAAAGATCGTGCAAAGGAAAATGGAAAAGAAACAAACGAAGAAAATATTATAGGACAACATTAATTAAAAGCGATTAAGACAACGTAGAGACGTAGGAAGCAGAAGAATCGGAAGAACCACTTTTGTACAATACTTTCTCCGAACTTTTATGACTCATTTCCACTAGGGAAGGGTATCGTTGTGCCACGTGAATATAGTTACGACGGTGTTAATGTGATATATACTTTGTACAGGAACAGAAAATTGATTTGTAAAAGAGGATTCCCTTTAAGAATCATTCCATAGGATCAGTAATGGCAATAAATCTACATCATTTTGGACATGAGATTCAAAATCATTGACCGAATTGCAGGTTCGAGTCATTCCCATGGCCTTCGCTACAGGGAGCACCAAAAATATATATAATTACTACTAGTAGTCTCGCTCTGTTGCAGGAATTGCCACAATAGACAGCCGAGCGAGGTTTGAAGAGCCAGAACATACCAACAGTTCACCTATGAAACAAGGATCCAGCGTGGCCTTGAGAAATAGACAGTTTCCAAGGGGTCGTACTATTTTGACCTATCGTATCCCCGATTTCACTAAAGTGAAGGCTAAAACGAACACTTTTAATACACCGAAATCGTGTGTTCAAAACATCCAGGTGAGTGGTGTGTTCACATATTCCGCGGTTTATATTTAAGTGAGAAATCCTCCTCGCTGCTGTATCGTCCTCCCCTTCCTTTCCCTGTGCCCTGCTTTCTGCTTTACTGAATGAATTCAGAGTCTCACATAGTTGCGGATATTCATCCAATGTTTACAGATAGAGTTTCTACAAAAAAAAATTCATTCCTTGCGTTAGTCTTTGGTTTTCCTATGCTGTTCACATATTAACACTAATCATTCTGAACATATAAATGGGCGATTCTATACTCCATTGCCATGCCTGTTGTACAGATAGAGAGTTCGGTGTTTGTGTCTATTCCTCGGAGAATCAAGATCCCATGCAGGAGCAGCAAGCAACAAACCAGAGGGATAATAAGGGGCAGAACCTTTCCTACATACCTGTATTGATCATATCTACAATATTATAGTTATGGATGGGTTGCTTTCCTAACCCTGCATTAGTTTATTTCTTATTGTCATTAATACAATCTAAGTAATGCGTAAAATTCTGGGCTGTAATAAAGGTTAGTGCATCTCAGCATAAGTTTCTGAAATAATGTGTTGTAATAAGCTTTAGAATATTTTGAATCTTTTCACAGGAATATGTTTTAGTTCCATGTGTGGGGGTACCCCAAACAGTAGGTCTCAGGGCAGTCGGAGTTGTCTTCAGAAATCTTGCCTAGAACGGGCCAAGTCCGTATTGCCGTGAGTGGATGTCCTGTAAGCTAGGAGAAAGAGAGTTAAGCAGCTCCGGGGTAGGGCGCAAGCTCGTCAATTAGTACTTCCACTCGCTATCATGTACTCGTCATCTTTCATTCTCCATTCATGGTGGGGAGACAGGCGTCTCTACATAACCGGTACTTCCTCTGTTTGCAGTGTCTTTGTCCGTTTTGCCGGGTGTCGTCCCCTCCACAAGTACAAACCATGCTTCCTTAAATTCTTCCTGAGTGGCCCTAATTTCTGGTATGCTCGCTCAACCATGTCCCTGTTGCAGTTTCTCCAACGAATTTTTCCTTCTGTCGGTCCAATTTGGCACGGTGTGTCGTCCCTCTGCGGGCTACGTCCAACCTCTTCTTCGGTTTCTGGCAGCAGCGCTCCCCGACCAGTTTTCGGTCCCTAAGCCGTTCCTTCTTGGGCTCTGCGAAAGGCAACACTGTTGTTTCTACGGGAAATTCTCTTCGTTCTGTCGTCTCAGGTTTCCTATGCCCTGAGTTCGGCTCTTTACCTTGTAGACTCGCCTCTGTCACCTCTGGGCAGCCCATCGTATTTTTCGGGCGTACATTTTCTCTAACCGCTTCGAGCGGGTTTCTTCGCGCAAGGCTTTCATGTCAGCCTCCGCACTTTCTCGCCCGTCTTTCATATTGTCATCCATTCAGGCTAGGATTTATTCTTCGGCGGCTTTCCCATTGACCCTAAATTCTTGCAACAGGAATTCAATAGTCTTCCGTGTCTCCATTCTCGTAGGAAAACGCTGTAAATAAGTTGTAACCACTGCTGAAAAATTCAAAAATACCCGAGCTGCCAAGTTCTGACACGAAATATGTCACGTGTAGAGGGCACGCATTACGAAATGACGGGTACTACTATGGATGAAAGGATATATTCACATTTTCGGTACACGCACTCTCTTCATTACTCTGAAATTAGAGTGGTACCGCTGATTTACACACACTTCAATTCGCCGTCGCAAATGCACTAGAATTTTCTCTCCTCCACTAATCGTCTCCTAGCAATGGATCTACACACAGGAATTGGCACTTCAAATCAATCAACTTATTGCACATGAGATCTTCCAATTACAATTCCAGTACCACTGCACCGTCACACTCATAAAAATCTTCTATATCACCCTTCTCATTCTCACAGGCAACCTTCTGTATTCCCTGTTCCGCTTCGCTTGATTTCGCCACTCCCAACTACTGGTAACGCAATCTCATACTGAATACTGGCTGAAGTCAAACTTTCAGTCAGTCAGTAAGTCTTGGTATCGAGCCTTACCTGGGTCACATGTCCAGATATAATTTTTTACACTTTTGACAGTTACGGCATTATTTTTATGGGACGCCCTCTTTGACAAGACGACGTGTCCCTTTGGATATGCAGCCAGGCCGTACAGCGCGGCGTTTCTTAGGTCCCAGTCCCTTCAGACTGGCGAAAATAATTTACTCTCTCAGATTTGAGACTTCCCGTTTCGTCGCTTCCTACGACTCGCAGGGTCACTGTAGAAATATCCGACCAGGCCTCCATACGGAGAGGAACAATGGCTGAATGATTTCAGGTGTATCTACCCACGAATTGCCTAGCAATAGACGCTCTACTGTTGAGTAACGTCACATTTTAAGGGGTGGGTTATTTACTGAGCATTGCGTAGTGACTGGATGAGTGGGGATATGTGACGTCAGTCACAGTCCGTTTTGCGCTATCCACGAGTTCACAGACTTATCGCCTACCGACGATAAGATACAATCAGCAACTCTCACGTTGCGCTGTTGCCTCGAGGCCTATGCGGCTTAAGAATTCCTGCACAGAGTCAATACGCCATAGTATTATATTTGTGATACATCTGTGAAAAAATCATCATACCTTCGCGGAATAAATTCCATCTTGGAGAGAAGAAGGAAGTTCGTTGAACACTCCTTTCAATTTCGTTTCGAT